TTTTTTTTTTTTTTTTTTTTGTATAGTATTTTTTATTAGAACAATTCCTGTACAATATTTAGTTGTTATGCCCCTGTAGTTCCAAAAATGTAAACAAATATAGACGGGTCTCAAAGTTGCTGCCTGCGGTGAAACTCACTATAGGCCTGTACATGTACTGAGCAGGAGCAGGAGTTGGAAAGCTTCAGAACCTGCTTGAGAAGCAGTCTTTAAGAGATCTTCAGTAGACTAATTCTGACGGCACATCTGCACTAGGCAGAAAATTTAGCTGCTACTAGCTGATTCCATGTACTTAGTGCTCCAAAATGTAAACAAATAGGCCTCGGCACAAAAAAGCACCTACACTGTAACATACTGTATCCATGGCAACATCATGTAGCCTACAACTTACTTCCTGTTTCTTGTCAAAGTTTATATCTGTTCACATGATGACTATTAACATTTAATGCTTTGTCATAATTATGAGGCCCAGAGATCAGGATCTTGTTGCTGATTTAGAACAGAGTGACGTTATAGGCTGCCTGATTTAACTGTCTAGAGCCAATGACCACATCCTATAAACATCTTATTGCAGCTGAAAATTCAAAATAAGAAATCAGAATATGTTAATTTGGGCTTCAGGGGATAATTATGGGCATAATCTAGCATTTTAAACACTGGGTTAATTCACCAAAAATATTCCTAACATTAAAAATAACACTTTGTCAAAACAACCAGTTGGCACTATGCTGCTATGTCTGGGGTTTTAGTGTGCATATGTACAAAAACATAATTACCATCACTGTACTGATTAATCAGTTGTATGATTAAATCTTGATTCACAAACGGGATTCTTTGTCCTGCAGGCGATCAGACCTCTTTCTGTCACATCAAGAGAAGATCATTGATTATAACATTTAGGCTAAATCTGAATGTGTGAGATGCTTTAGAAAGAACAAAGGGATTAAAGAGAGCAGGATAAACAAAAGAGAAAGCAAAAAGACAAAGAAAACCAGATACTGTCTGTTCTGCTGTGGGTGTTGAGCAGTCGATCTGCTGTTTCCTTCCAGCTCCTACACCGGCCGAGTCCTGACGGAACTGGCCGAATAGATCCGAAGCGACGACGACAGGACCGCACCGAGCCAGCAGCAAAAAGCTGACAAACCTCAAGAAATTTACACATATATATATCCAATAAAGATATCTCACAGTTTAATAACCACTGACAGGTCAGAATAATGACGGCTCTGAGCAGCTGGGAGCTGTGCGTCAAATACGCCCTGTTCATCTTTAACTTCATCTGCTGGGTAAGTGTCAGAATATTCAAAGTATTTCTGTGGCACACATACTAACGTTAATACTAGGCTACGTGTGTATTTGTACACTAACGTTGTTTTACAAACATCTAGTGACAATGTTATTTCTCTGTTAAAAACGAGGCTAAACTCAAAATGTCACTAATTTATTTTCATTATTAAATAACACAAAGTGAATGTTAGCTAGTTTAATGATTTTTTGGGCATTAAAATCTCGATTGAACGACATAACCTACAAATAATAGTTTATTTTCTCACTTTAATACATCTGAAATTAGTAGCCGTACTAGTTTTACTCTGTATTATGATTTAATTGGAACAATCGATTTAATTGTTCCAAATATAAAGGAACAAAAAGTGACATTTTGATCAGATTAACGCAATATAGTTAGTGTAACAGGAGGAGCAACCTGTTTCTTATTTTACAGAGTTCTTCAGCAACATTGTTTGTTTAATATAGGCCTGCTTTGCCCAGGAACCAAGGACGTATTCATGGAAAAGGCCTGTCATTTCCTTTATTAGCTGTATTTTCAACACAGAGACTAAAACCAACAATGATTTGCCTCTTGCCAGGCTGTCATATTTGTTACGATTATCTAAAGATCTTGTGCATGGATGTTTGTCTCTAGCTTTTTTCAGACTTTGTAAGAAGTTATGTCCCTTTGGGGCCTTTTCATGACTCTTGTGAAATTGATTCTGACATCCCCACTAACTTATTCATTAATCTATTAATGGCTAGCCCTACATGGTCCGCAGTAACAAAGACTGTAGCTAATTATGAAATCATAACCACAGCTACTTAGATAGTTTCCAGTCTTTTTAAAAAGGCTCAAACTGTTTCTGAACATACCTTTGTGTTGCCTGAGTGGACACAGCTGTCCACCTGTGTGGATCAGGGGTGGCAAGGTTTTGGTCCTGTGAAATCCATTAGAGCAGACGGCATGCCTCTTACCCCTCACCCCCACCTCCACAACTCATTTCTCCACCCACTTCCGCCCCCAGGTTAGCCACACAGGGGCGTGGCTCACACAAAATCCTCCTTCCCACAGTGTCAAAGAGAAAGGATAAAGAGAGAACACTTGACGTTTTCTTCTTCTGAATCTTGAAGCGGGAACCATGACCGGACTGCAGTGTGTCAAGTACCTGGTGTTTGTGTTCAACTTTCTCTTCTGGGTATGTAGAGCCACTTCCTAGGTGTCAGGTGTGTTGATGCACGGCACTGTAGAGCAGGTGTCAGAGCGGTTTGGCTGGTAGTGATTGCACAAGAGACGAGCTCAGTGAGTGGTGAAACAAGCTTTTTGGTTGAGGTTCCTCTGAGTGGATTGTTGCTTATCTGTGTGTTTTAATTGATTGTGACTGGAGAAGAAAACCTCAAGAAAACTTTGAGCTACTTAGAAAAGGTTCACTGGCCTTTCTTTGTCTGGCCTTTTCTTTCTTCTTTTTTTTTAAAGCATGTCCTGGTCTTAAAGTCTTCTTCCAACTGATTTATGAACAGCTACAGTAAATTCACCATCTGTCCTCGGGCATGTGCAGCCACCATGTGTCAGTGGAAAATACCAGAAAATAATTAACCAGCTGGCTTCCTGCCTTGTATACAACGACTATCTGTGCAACTGAAGTTGGTAATTTCCTCCCAGATTTTATGTTGTACTATGGTGTATTGTTTCATCTTGTATAGATAAGTTGAGTGTCTGGTAGCTGAGATGATGAGGTGAGGAGCAACAGGTGAGTGTGGATAGCAGGAGAGGGAAATGAGAACAAAGGGCTGCAGGTCTGGGTCTGAAATGAAATGGAGACTGTATCATGAAAACAAGGAAGTTAACACTTTGAATTTGTGAATCATGACCCTCCTCCTATAAAAATATGTTGATTGTATTTGTGTACAGTCTCCTACTTAAGATACGTTCCACCACAACTGGTAGTGGGCCACTTATATTTGCTCAAGCAGTATCTTGAATGCTGGACTTGTACTTCTATCAGTGTGTGTGATACTTTAAAGGATTTGCGTAGTTCTTCCACCACTGCTGACAGTATTTGCTCCAAGTAGGCCATCCACACTGTTATGACTATATGACCTGTTTACAGGTGGTCTAAGCCAGATCCCTTAAGACAGAAGAGTTGATTGGGGTCACCGGCAGCAGGTCATGTGACACATGTAGCTTCAAACAGTCAATTCAGATCCACTGTTTTCTGTGAGGAAGCATCTACTATTTCAATGACTTGTGCAGGCTTGCAAACTAATTCAGTATTCTGTTGTTATAAATAGCTCAGCTAATTTAGCTAGCTACCTAATGTATTAAAATGACCCAGTATTTGAGACAGATGGTCAAAAAGGTTGTACAATGTGTTCTGAAACAGGTTGCTAGCTTAAAATTTCACAAGTATAATTATTGCTACTGATTTCAACTTCTTACTGTATAAGATGGCAGCCGAGCCAGTGCAACTCGGTGGTGCTGCTGCTAATGTTTGGAGCTATTCTACATCCCCATGATCTGCCATTACTGTTAAAACACACATTCCTCATAGAGTCAGTGGAGATGTCGCCACTCCTCTCCTTAATCCACTTTGGTACAAGTTAAATGACTGTTTGGACAGTTTTTCGTCTGCAGTTCCAGTGTGTAATGATGACATGACAACATAACTGCCTCATAAACATAAACATCAGATTACACGGGTTCATTTATTGCACATTGTAATGACCAACCCAGTCATTACTGTAAATAAATTGGCCTTAAATGTTTCTGTCGCTCAGATTTACATTTCTCACCGTCGGCACAGACAACGCCGTCTTGAAGGATGTTTCTTTATCCTTCATGAGAAACTCTTGCAGGCTTGGGTTGAGATGTTAGATTGTAATCTTTGTATCACACAGTGTGAAAAGCAGTTTCAAGACAGAGTCTCATAAGTTACTCATTTCTTTGTAGTGATCGTCTGTGTGCAGCTAATGGTGCTGCAAAGTGCCTTTGTAGGTAGTGAAAGCTAATGTGACCCTTGAGGGGAGGAGCCGTGCACTTCAACACAAACACCAAGCTCCCCTGTGTGTTCATATGCATTAACACCAGTATCTACTCAGGACACAAGGCTCCTGCACTTTCCCTTCTATTTGTTATTGTTACTTTAGATACTTGATAATGAACACGGGATCAACTCATTCTAGTTTTCACTGTGCAGAATGCTGCTCTATGAAAACCCTATCAGCTTGAGAGCTTTGATCTACAATAAGGGATTTATTTCTGTAGTGTTTCACAACTAATAAGCACATTTCTCAATATGTGGCAAGGTGTTCTGCGGGCTGTTGCACCAGCTACAGTTGTCTGCAAAATATCATGCACCCATGGGCAACTTCCACGGGAGAAGTAGAACCAATCCTGCAACAGATGTTAAAATGAACCTTTCTTCAGATGTTGTACACCGTTTTCTATTTCTTCAGTTTAAAAACTGGCATGTGCACAGGTTTGGTCACCCTCCTAAGTCCCTCACTTTGGCAGATTTCACAGCTTAAAAACAACTTTTGCAGCACCAAGTCTGTTCTTGAGTTTGGGTTTTCCTGCTGCTCTTTATGTAGATCACTCAAAGTTCAGACCTATTCTAGATCCTTCTGCACACACAGCATGACCAAGATTTCCCACAGACAGTCAGTGACGCTCAGGTCAGGGGACTGTGAAGGCTGCTCCAAAGGCGTCGGTTTGTTTGTTTGAAGTAGTTCACAGTGGACTTTGAGGTCAGCTTCAGATCACTGCCCTAACAAGATTTGTTGATGTATAGTAAAATCCATTCTGCCCTCTGTCTGCCACACAACCCTGAAGCACAATGTTTCAACCTCTACGCTTGACAATGGGCAAAGTGTGGAGCCTCCTCGATTCTCACTCCTCAGGGCACATGTCCTCAACTGAACTACTTTCAGGTCAAGTGAGAAGTGATCCTATAAGAGACTTGGGATGTACACATGCAGTGCATCCCAAGTCTCTTATAGGATCCCCTCATTTGCATCTTTTCTTTGTCTTGGTCTTCCCTGTGTAAGTTGTGAGGAGAAAGGACTTGAGGAAATGTGTTAAGCATCTAATCACCAATTGATTTCTGTTAAAGGCACATGTCAGTTCAAAACTTCCATGAAGGATAGTCTCGTGTGTCCTTGGTCTTGGCTCCTCCAGTACCATCCTTGGTCCTCAGAGCCAACAGAAGAGATGTGGAATGTCCTCGGTCCTCTGTTGACCCGGAAGCCATTCCGGTGGGCCGAGGATGTAGGAACAGTCTTATAAGAAACTTGGGACATAGCCATGGTTTCCAGAGGATGAATCCTTCTGACATTGGTGATTTTCTGAGTTTTCTTCTAGCAGGTTTATATTTTTGTTTGGATGGATTGCAGTGAAATTTAGTTTGCCCCTCGGGATGAATAGTAACAACTTTGGCGAACCCTTAAAGCATGGTTTCACTTTTGAAACAGTTTGTAGTCGTTCCTCCTGTTCTCACCGGACATTGAGATCTCTAATAGGACTAATATGGGGCTTCAGCAGTCTGACTTGGATCAGTCCAGTGGTGTCTTTCAAAATCCCCTCTTGTTGGTTCCGTGGACAGCGTTTCTTTGCTGCACTGTGGTGGAGTTTCCTACTAAACAAATAATAATTTAGGAAAGTAACCACTTGATTTGACTCTGTTTGCTGAAGCCTCATTAACTTTCCACAGGACGACTGTGGAGTTTGTAATTAACAACTCTGCTGCTTTCACATAAACACACTCATGGCCAGATTAGTTGGAGCAAGTGTTGAGTTATCCAGGAGGGCCAGCAGTGTCAGGCTCAGTGAGGCCTGGTAACCCAAACAGACTACTGCCCATTGCTGTGATTCAGGGTCAGTGGACTGTTTAGAAAGGATCCTGAGGACATGCTGGAGCAGAACAATTAGCTTCTGTTCACAGCAACACATTCGTCAGTGTCGCATGACATGATGGAAGGCTTAGAGTTGATGTAAACTGTGTTTAGTGATCGCAGAGGGGATGTGTCACTCCTGGATTATGGGAGTGTGGGAGATTCACATACTGTAGACAAGATGCTTATTTTGTGATCCACTATTATGCAGAAGGGTTCAAGCATGAATTCAAGTGCAAATGAACGGTCTTGAGCAACTTAGTTGAATGGCAGAACTGTAAACTCTGAACATTTTCCATCACAGATTGTAGTGTTGAAGAGGCTCTGTACTTATTACATTTACTTTGCTGCTTGTTGAGCAGGATGTTAAAGACAGTGGGCGGCTGTTTTAGCATCACTTCTTTCCTCAGCTGTTGCCTCTGTTCTACTTCAGGTCCCAGTTGTTGTTGTTTTTTATTTTATTTTATTTTTAGCCTCTTTAGTAATCAAGCAGCACTATTTAGATGGCTGCATACATATTTCCTTTTGCATTCTGGATATCTTTGCTGGGGCAGGGTAAAATTTATCAATACATTTTAAAGTGTCTTCTTTTGATTTTGTTACAGTAAGTGGGTTCTGTTGCATATCTATGTATCCTCATGTAAAGCCATGTCTAGCTTATTTTCTAGGAAGCAAAAAAAGCACAACAAATAGGGAGGACCTCATTGGATTCAGAATTTACAGCTGTTTTCCTTATACTTTGTTTCTGCTGTAGCTGGCAGGCAGTGGTGTGCTGGCTGTGGGACTATGGCTGCGATTTGACTCTAGGACATCCGGACTGATGGATGTACAGGACTCGCCCTCAGTCTTCGTCACTGGTAAGGTCTTTGACATTAAGATGCCGCCTGTACAGACACACCCAGGGGTGTAGTAATGAGTGGGAGTGCTCGGGGCACCCAGTAAGGAGAGCTGCACATGGTTTTACTTCCTGCAGTAGGGTGGGCAGAGATGGTCTCAACTGACTTCAATGATTAAACAATTATCAAAATGAATTGTCGATCAATAAAATGTTTCATCTTTAATTTCCATGAAATGACTAAAGACAGTTATGCATTTTTATATCTGATCTTTTGAGACGTTACACTCTGAAAAACTGATGAACTTTTAGTCAATGTAACATAAATACCAATAATTTCATGTACTTCATAAGTAATTGTAGGCCTTTATTTTCTGTCCATCTTCGTTCAACCAGTAAGACTGAGAAATATTAAAATGCAATGTACTGTATGTGGCGTTTTTAAAGAATTATATGAACACTACAGTCAAACATATAGGTGGGGGTCCTAATGGAACATTAAAACCTCAGATTTTCTGTCCTCATTTCATTGTGGTCTTGGTTGAGTGAGGTACTTGCACGCAGCTGTAAAAATACACACGTTGTCTTTGAAAGGCAATGTATGATGGACAAGTGCTCTCTTGGATAATTACAATGTAATCTAAATTCATGGCTGAGGAGCATTATGTGCACAGTTAAGTGCATGTCATGGGCACATGCTGCCTGTTTTATGCTGTGTTCTTGCTTTGTGGGTAGACTGCTCTTTAACTGGTGTGTTTCATTAGCACAGCAGATACAAAGTGAATACTTTTACTTGTAAATTAGAAAAATATTCCATTACAGTTGTTTAGTACAGTTAGTCCCAGCCAGGCATCCGTAGCTCACAGTAAAGAGCAGTTTGTGGTGCATTAGGTTCGAGACTAGATCCTCTGGGCTGAGAAGAAATCGGGTAGAGTAGCTTTACAAGTGTCTTGAGATGTGTAGCAGCACAGCTGGACTTTATCATCAGACTTTGCTGAATGAGATTGCAGGTGCTTGTTCACCATGACCTGATGGTTGTTGCTGGATTATCGGGGCAGCGCCGCAGCAGGAGCCAGCTGAGTGCCGCGCCAGGGCGTACAGAGGGCAGCTGAGGCCAGAGCCGCTCCTCTGGCCTGCGCAGCCCTCCACACACAGCGCTCATTCTTCATGGGGGGACAGGGCCGTTCTTTGTGTTCTGAACTTTTGTATTCTCTGAGGAACTGTTCCACAAAGACAGACTCGGTCCCTCCCTTCTCTTTTTTGAGTTTTGCTTCCATCAAGCTGAGGAGTGCAGTGGGCAGCCAGGCAACAGAGGCTCGGTCTGAACTGATAAACATCTGAACAGCAGCTTTGGAGGAGGAATATTTTTGTGTGTGGGTCATGTACTCGTCACATCAGTGCTGTGGTTCATGTTTTCATCTTTAAATGATTATTTATTCTCATCAAGGCACACTGACGTACTGGGTCATTACCAGTGGCTCTAAATCACTTTCTAACTAGCTGCTTTCACAGTTATGTGATTTAAGACTTGTTGATATTTTGCTGAGCATGAATTAAAGTTAAAAACCACATGCAACTCCACATGATCTGCTTTGACAGTGTTTATTTGCTCTGACTACGGTAGTACACTACCACTGTTGTTGCTTTGTGCCAAACTAGCTACAGTATGACACAAAATATCTGGTGTAAATTTGTAAGACTCCATGCAGCCTGCAGTTTAGTTGATTTTAAAGATGGATGGATGGATGTCGACCAGCTGGACAGTAGGTCTGTGTTGGCTTGATCAGTTATTTTAGAACTGTGCCTAGATGTCTCACTCTTCAGTATCATGATGACATGAGGTCAGATCGTGTGCCCCCTAATGTGTGTTGTTGTAGGTGTGTACATCCTGATCGCGGCGGGGGCTCTGATGATGATCGTGGGTTTCCTGGGGTGCTGCGGAGCCATCAAAGAGTCACCATGCATGCTGGGACTGGTCAGTTTTGTCCCGTTTATGTTGTTCAATTAGATTGCAACACAACAAAGTGAATCAAACATTTCAATTGGTTTATCTCTGTTTGGTAGATTTAGAAACGTCCCCGTTAATGTGCTTCACTTTCACAGTAACGTCTCCACCTTCACTGCACGAGTTCACCAAAATGGAGCATGATGAGCTTCACAAACATCTGACCAAAATCACTAATCTTACACTTTAATATGGTGGTGGTACATTAAACACGCTGAGGAAACTCTCATTTTGTTGTTTAGTTCTTCGTCTGCTTGCTCCTCATCTTCGCTGTGGAAGTGGCAGCTGGGATCTGGGGCTTTGCGAACAGGGACCGGGTACTCAACACTTAAACACATCCATATATTCATTTTGTTGTTGGTAGTTGAGTAATTTAAACAACGTTATCAATGCTTTGCTTGTGTCTGCAGGTGGTGGAGGAATTCACAGAGTTCTATAAACAGACCTTCAGCAACTACAAGTCCACTGGACAGGAAGCACTGAAGGAGGCCCTTCGCATCATCCACTTCGGCGTGAGAACACGCACATGAACACCTGTTTCTTATTCATTTATTAACTGTCTCTTGCTGCTGCTTCAACATTTATTTATTAATTTTTTTCAAACAAACCTGGTGGAACGGTGATTAGCGCTGTCGCCTCACAGCAGGAAGGTTCCGGGTTCGAGCCTGGGCCGACCCAGGGCCATTCTGTGCAGAGTCTGCACGTTCTCCCTGTGCCTCCAGCTTCCTCCCACAGTCCAAAGACATGCAGCATAGGTTGACTGGTGACTCTAAATTGCCCTTAGGAGTGAGTGTGTGTGCTGTTTGTCTACGTGTCAGCCCACCCGGTCCAGGCTGACCCCCGCCTCTCGCCCAGTGTCGACTGGGATTGGCTCGAGCCCCCCGTGACCCTATTCAGGAATAAACACTATAGATAACTGATAGAGCCAATAAAATGATTGAACATCAAAATTGGTGTCAGCACTGATATAAGAACATCCTGATACAACCTAAAATGTCTTCATGGAAAGGTTTTAGTGGCTTTTGGTGTTATTATAAGCATTACAATTTTATGAAATTTAGAGCATGTGTGACTCATGTTTACATCCTGTAAAATGCACCAGCATTTTGAAATTATTTTCATGAAGTCAGTGGGTCTCACATGCAGAATGTGCTGTGCTTCATCAATCAACCATAAACTAGTAACTGGTAATTAATCTCCTGATTTGTCTGACCTCAGTACTGTCCTCTTCCCAGCTGAACTGCTGTGGTCCAACAGGCACTGAGGGTACCAGAGATATGTGTCCCAAGAAGGAGGGAATGGATATCCTCGTCACCACGGTACTGCAGTGTAAACATGCAAAGCATTATATTGATGATCTCTCACTGCTGTCATTCAATAGGTCATGTTTGTGCAGCTTTCATAAGTTCCCATTACAGTAATGGTGCTGCAACTGGCGTTATGTTCATTATTGATGAATGTCTATTTTGCGATTGATTCTTTGGTTTTAAAATGTGAAATTCTTGTTACAAGCGTTCAAGGTGACTCAAACGGCTTGTATTGTCAAATCAACTGCCTAAACGCACAGATTCACCTTTAAAATGACCTGAACTAGCTTTGAAAAGTATAGACGATCCATTCTCAAAACCATTTAATTTATCATGTGTTGGTACTGAGTACCACATAGTACCTGGTAGAAAAACCACGTCTCTTTCCTCTGTTTCTCTGTCAGAGTTGCCCATCTGCCATCGACGAGATGTTCAACAACAGACAGCACATCATCGGCGGGGTGGGCATCGGTGTCGGGGTCATCACGGTGAGGCCGGAACCAGAACTACTCATGAAAAGTTCAGAACTTAAGGAATGGTTTGGGGAAATGGGAGAATTAGATGTCTGTACTTTAATATGAGGCTGCAGCGAGAGACCAGTTAGTTTAGCTTAGCAGAAAGACTGGAAACATGTTTTTGTTAAACTGATGGACTCATTGCAGCGTGTGCCGCCCCTGCGCTGTGACGACACCTCGACCTGTCCAATGGCAGAGAACTTGACACACCACAAAGAAAATGGAGGAGTAGCTGATTTTGGCGGCCCCACAGCCGCCTCTTCTTTGCTGCAGCTCGTCTCCTCATTACAAGTGAAGCCAGAGCTTTTCAGTGACACAGTTAGATACATGGTGCAGCCATGTCCACTGCTCGAAAAACTAGTTCATATCTGCTAGTCACCTTCTGAAAAGCTTTTTGGTCACCTAGCAACTGGCACCCAAGATGTGCATGATTTTCGTTGCGCCCAATCCCCGCGGTGAGCGCAAGCGCATACTGCATCCTATTTGAAAACGGCTTTATCAGTCTCATGGTTGAGCCCTTTTTAACTTCTCACCAACGACCTGTATCAGTCAAGTTGTTACCAATAAGTGCAGGCCTACCAGGTACACCTCTGACCCTCCCCTTCCCTTGCTGAGGAAACATAAGACTCTGCCGTCTGTTGCCCATTTTGACCCTCACTATGGCAGGAGCTGTCCCAGTTTGTGCCTCAAACATACTGTAGCTTCTGTTTGCGTTAGCATTAGCCAGAGTCCTTAAGTTCAAAGAGCTGCAACACTGGAAACACTGTTTCAGTCCGTCAACTGCAAACATTGTCCACCAATGACCGAGTTGTTGGTGTTTCAGGTGTTCAGGTTGGCAACACACGAACCAGGTTGCCAACTTGTATGTGGAAGAATTTGAGGACAAAGCCCTGTCTTCCTTCACTGGTACCGCTCCCAGTCGCTGGTTCCGCTACGTGGATGACACATGGGTTAAAATCAGGACCCAGGAGGTGGAAGCTTTCACCAAGCATATAAACTCTGTGGATATCGACATCAAGTTCACTTGTGAGGATGCCAAAGATGACTGTCTGGCCTTTTTGGACTGTGTGGTCCACTTGGGAGAAGACAGATGCCTGAAGGTGGAAGTATACCAGAAACCTACACACACGGACCAATACCTGTTTTTTGACTCACACATCCACTTCTTTAAATCACAGGGCAGAGGAAGTGCCCACAACTGCAGAAGGGGCCAAGAAGGAGAAATTACACATCCAGAACTCCCTTAGGGCTTGTGGATACCCTAAGTGGGCCTTCACCAAAGCAAGGAAGAGGCCCAACACCAACAGGGAGAAACCAGAAACAAGAGGGGATAACACTGTCATCCCTTATGTGGCTGGCTTATCAGAGAAGTTAAAAAGGATCTTTTGCAACCACAATATCCCAGTTAACTTTAAACCAGGGAACACCCTGCAGCAGAGACTGGTCCACTTGAAGGACAAAACACCTTGACATAAACAGAGTGATGTGGTGTAGTCAGGAGTGTAACGACTTGTACATTGGTGAAACTAAGCAGCCGCTTCACAAACGCATGGCCCAACACAGGAGGACCAAGGACATTCTTTTGAGGACAGTGAAGTCCAGATCCTCTCCAGAGAACATCGCTGGTTGGAGAGAGGAGTTAAGGAAGCTATTTTTGTAAAAATAGAACACCCCTCACTAAACAGGGGTTGTGGACTAAGACAACTTGTCATCCATCTACAATCCTGTTTTGAGATCTCTGCCCAAACGTGCCCACCAGGACAATAGGCGTCGGTCGACGGAGGATTCAAAGATGGGTAACGACTCTCACAGATACAAACCCCAACGACTTAATCATTAGTGGACATTGTCTGCTGTAGGACTGAAACACCACCCAGTGTGACAAATGCCTCCTGCTCAGCACCAGTCAGACAGAACTGATGAAGCCTCTTGGATGATGTCTTCTACCTAAAACTACATCTAGGTGCCTTCTAAGTGTTTTCAGCATACTATGATCTGGATGACTGAGAATTTGCACAGACATAATTGTTCTGTTGTTGTAGATAGCTAATTTAGCTAGGTACCCAATCGATTATAGTAACACAATATTTGAGGGAGACTTTAAAAAGGTTGTAAAACCTATTTTGACACGTCCCTAACTTAAAATGTCACAAGTATAAATTACTGCTATTGACCTAAACGTTTAACTTCAGAATATAAAAGCAAAGTCGATGTAACTCTGTAATGCTGCTGCTAATGTTGGGGACTATTCGGCGTCCTCGTGATCTGCTGTTACTGTAGAAACAAACTCCTCATACATGAACATGACTGGTCTGTAGGATATTCTACATTCATTTTGGGCATTTGTCCAAAGCATTTCATCAGAATGGTTAAATATCTGACAGACAAATTTAATAAAAGACTAGTCCACCTTAAGAATATACAGTAGTTTGAACTACTAGAGTTGAGTAAAGGGAACTTGGGTAAATGAACTCGAATGTATTTGTACAACTAACTCCATTTTTGTGTGTCCTGTCTCTCCTCAGATCTTCGGGATGATCTTCAGCATGATTCTCTGCTGTGCCATTAAGAGGTCCAGGGACTTTGTCTAACTTGCCACAAAAACACACTCAACCTGTGCATCTTTAATTCACACGTCCTCATTTTTACACCTGCTGCTAACAGATAGGTTTTCCCTTAGTTTACTGCTTGGATCCATACAGGATGGCCCATAGACCTGTGACAGTATGGAGCCTGTGCAGTAATGCTTCTGAAGTCTTTCAATCTCTAGGGTGTGTTAGGAGGGTACATCTGAAACAGGGTAAATTCAACAAATGGTGGTTGGTCATCTGGTGCCCAGTGGGACAAGTTTAAATCTCAGAACAAGTTGATCATGGGCAGGAAAACATTTGTGCCTCTGCTGCCCTCTGGAGGAACAGCCGTCCTGTTTTCCTCTTTAGTTGAGTTTGTTTGCCTGTGCTGAGTTGTGATCTAACAGGCTGTGTGCCGCTAACTGAATTTTACTGTGCGACTCATTTTATTTTGATTATGAAGGTTAGAAGCTTTGAGTTTTATAAAAGCAGAACTGTGTAGTTTTATGCACATTTTGAAAGCAGATAATGTACCTTTAAGATGCCAAATAAACAAACTGATTTGTGTGAAACTGGTTTATTTTCTGTGGTTTTCAAAGAAACATTCAGACTGTAGAGACTCTGTACATGTCCACTTAAATCATTTGTTTTTTGAGATTTTTTAAAAAAAAAAAAAAAAAATTAAAACTTTTTTTTTCATGATCTATAAAAAAAAAAACTTGCTGCAAATATCTCGGCTCCCTCCAACACTTAGTGACTTAAGGGAACAAATCTACTTTTTGGGGGGGAAACGTGAGTTTCTGTGCAACAGAAGTACAGAGCCGGTTATCTTAGCAAAAAGACTGGAAACGGGGAAATGTCAAAGAAATCCGTGGACGTGTTGGTCCTGGTAGAAGGATTTCTTCTGGACAGCGCCAGGCTCGCCGTTTCCAGCCTTTATGCCAAGTTAACTAAGGCTAAATATTTACCTGACAGGAGAGTGGTGCCAAGCTGATGCTCTAACTGTACATTAAAATAAGGGTTGAGCAGAGGAGAAAAACTGTAAAGACGCAGTGTGTGTGTGTGTGTGTGTGTGTGGGGTGGTGGTGGTGTTAGGCGTCCCAAGCGAAATCGTACGGCTGGAAGTCGTCTCTCATCAGTTTGCAGCTCTCCTCCTCCTCCTCTCGGCTCTGTTTGCACTCCCTCCAGTCGGCTCGAGTGGGGATGTTCAGCACAGCCTCGCTGGCCAGAACCTCCCTATGTTCAGAAATGAGCATGCTTAAAAAAATAAACATCATGCCTGTATGAGTGTGTGATTCAGATACTATGAACCCCAAACCCTATTGGGAAATTACAGCAACTATTCTGTAACAGACTGTCAGCAGGGATTTGTGTGTCTAGGACAGTGAGGTGATTTGATCATTTTAATCCCGTCTGGAGAGTAGCTGCGGCTAATTGTCCTCCCCCGCTCTTGTAGTAGTTACAACCTACTGGATTTCTGCTGCTGCTTCTATAACATCAATCACATCTGCAGCAATTTAAAATTGATCTCTTGGGTTTTTTTTCTGCAGTGTGGCATTTGACCTGATATGAAAATGGAATAAGTCATTTTTGTTAATTTAACAGGTGGAAATGTGCTAACACCAACATCTGCAACATCCTCCACTGCTGATGTGCTGTCTGGGGTTCATAAAGCACTGGATCTGAGTACATGACTTGATATGGGCTCAGCAGATGTGCCATTGTAATGTGAGCTATATTTTAGGAAATAGTCTCCATTAAAATGAATGAATGAGCGGTGATCAGCCCCTGGCGGCAGTGTGCCCATGGATGTACAGACAATTATCACTGAAACTGAAGGAAACTTAAAAAATGTGAGGATTCTCAGGCACGTTCTGGCATCATTTATCCTCGGTCTCAGTGGATTTATGATGTATATTCTCAGTGGACATCAGAGATGATGCTATCCTCAGGGTGTGTGTTTCACGTCCGTGTGATGAGACCGAGTTCTGGCTCTGGGAAGGATGACGACTTTGGATCCTAATTAATCTCACACAGTATCGTTGCCTCCGCCTCAACTCTCCAGCACTTCTTTCTCTTTGCTGTCCTGCTGCATGTC